GAGGATGTCATGAGTGGACAGGAGGTCACCAGCACGATCGAAACGACAAGGATCCAACTGAAAGAACTGCTGGAGAAGTCACAATGGCACTGCTATGCAATATGTGCGGTACCTATGATACAAACAAGAGGGCAAGAGACCTTACAGAGAGCAACGGAACTTAACGACAGCCTGAGGAGACTATGCAGAGAGATGGGCCCACGAGTGGATTTCGTCCCAGTGACGGGAATGTGGAATAGACCAGGGTGGCTGCAAGGGACACAGTATTCGAAGGAGGCGGCAGAACATGTGATGACGAGAATGAGTGCAAGGTTTCGGGCTTTTTTAGAGACACCAAGGGGGCCCAAAACACCGAGGAGAAAAGAAGGCAAACGAGATCAACTGGAAGGGCTGCTGAGAGCCTTGATGGAACAGCTGAAAAGCGGGTAGTTGAAGGACGCGACGAGCCTGAGGCAGAGGGGCCAGGACAGGCAGCGGAGCAAGGGAGACTAAGGAGAGTGAGTTTGAAGTCGTTTGGTAAAGGCACCAGAAAAAGGAGACATAGAAGAGGACGTAAACACAGGGAGAAAATCAATCTTGCTTTTTTGAACATACAGGGGGGTCGAACAGAAGGGAAATGGGAAGAGATATACAACCACATGCGGCAAGAGCGGATAGCCCTCTTTGGGGTGGTGGAAACTCACCTTAGGGGGGAAGAGGTACCACCTGATGACCAAGACTTTGTGTGGGAGGGCTGCAACCGAACAACGGAAGACAGAAGAGGAGGGGGCATTGGGTGCCTCTCGATCAAAACGCAACAATGGACCAGAAGGACCCCTGAGTGTAAAGAGCACATGTGGATGCTGGGAAAGCTGATGGGTAGACCGGTGGCCATAGCAGTGGTGTATTTTTGGTCAGGGAGCCAAGAAGAAATGAACCAGAAAATTTATGAATGCCTAATGCAAGACATACAAGAGCTGCAGGGGCAGCACGAGGTGATTGTGTTGGGGGACTTTAACGGACATCTGGAGGAGCTAGATGGAAGGATGGACGCCAATGGCAGGCGACTGATGAACCTAGCTAGACGAAACAACCTGGTGGTAAGCAACCTGGAGGAGAAATGTGAGGGAACCGTCACATGGACAGCAAGGGATCAATGCTCAAGCATAGACTATGGTCTACTCTCACCTGGAATATATGACAGGCTGACGAGCATGAAAATAGATGAGGATGGCTTGGGCAACCTGGGGAGCGACCACAACCGCCTCAGGTTGATCTTTGAGACACATGTGGACAGAACAGAAAAAGGGAAACAGGAACATAGAACAGGACACCCAACAGAGAGGGAGATAGAGAAGATAGCAACAGCACTGGAGGGCTTGAACTTACCTCTCAAGGGATATGAAGACATGGAAAATGCAATGAAAAAGGCCCTGAAGGAGCAGATCCGGTCACGACCCCGACGGAAGCGAAGACCGAAAGCTTGGTGGAACCACGAGGTGGACACGGCGGTGAAGAGAAGAAGAGAGGCGAGCCGATACCACCGCGGAATCGTAAAGAGGGGCAGGCGAGAGGAAGTCAACAGAGCCTGGGATCTCTTCAGAAGCTGCAAGCAGAAGGCAGCGGCATGTATCCAGGCCAGTATACAACGGTGTGATCGACGATTTATGGAGGAACTTCGAAGAGCGGGAAAGAGTGCACCACAGCGCTTCTGGAGGAGACTACGGTGGGAGGCCAGGTCAACGAGCCATACCCAGATATTGAAACAGCCGGAAACCGGAGCAGAGAGGTTGGGTATACAATGCATCCCCCTCATAGAAGAATGGTATGGGAACATGATCGGGGCAGAAGAACCAATGTCTGTGGAGGGAGATCAGGAAATCCCTGATGTGGACGATAAGGACCAGGGGCCGCCGGCAGAGCTTAGAGTAAGACCCACAGATGGGGAGCTATCAAGAGCGGCACGGAGGATCGACGCAAAGACTGCAATGGGAAGAGACGAAATCCCCATGTCACTTATTCAGGGTCTGGGACCTAGAATGCGAGCCTTGGTGGCAGAAAACCTCACAGAGATCCTCGCGGATGCCCAAATACCGGAGACATGGAAAGAAACAAGAATGAAGCTCTTGTACAAGGGAAAAGGCGAAAAGGCTGATCTCGGTAACTACCGGCCGATTAGCATCACATCAGTGCTTTACAGAATGTGCACTCAGATTATCAGAACGAGACTGCAGAAATGGGCCGAGGAAACGGAAGTGCTGGGAGAGCTGCAAAACGGTTTTCGAACAGGAAGATGCATAGAAGACAACCTATTTGTGGTAACACAATGCATCGAAGTGGCAGTCCAGGAGGGCAGACCACTTTACGCAGCTTTCCTGGACATTTCCAAGGCATATGACACGGTGGACCGGAACATACTCTGGAGTCGACTTCGAGGGCTAGGAATAAACGAGGCAGATGTGAATCTGCTGCAGGCACTGTATGCTGGGGTCTCAGTGCGGATTGAGTGGGAGGGCCACATGACCAGGCGTCTACCAGTACCCAGGGGCCTGAGGCAAGGATGTCCACTATCCCCCTTGCTATTTATGTTGTATGTGGCACCGTTGGAGAAAGCGCTGGAGCAGTCGGGTGTGGGCTTCGACCTATCATACAGAGTGGAGGGAGCCTGGAAGCGGCAGAGAATACCGGCCCTCATTTACGCCGATGATGTGGTGCTCCTTGCCGGCTCGCCTGAGGACCTCCAGGTGCTTCTGGACATATGCGGGGAGCTCGCCACGCATTTTAGACTCCGTTTCAACCAGAGGAAGAGTGCGGTCCTAGCCTGGGGAGACCGAGATGGACCGAATCGGGAACCAGAGGAACAACGGTGGCACCTGCAGGGAGGGAGGTTGACAAGACAAAACACAGTCAAATACTTGGGAGTGACCCTGACTGCGGAGCCCGACTACCTGAAGGTCCATGAACGAGAGAAGAGATTGGGAGCGATAAGGGGGAAAGGAGTCCTGGCGAAGAAGAGCACCTGGACGTTCAACAGGTTCGAGGTGGTGAGGGGTCTATGGAAGATGGCCATCGTTCCGGGACTCACGTACGCAAATGGCGTGCTCGTCCTCTCATCGCAAACAAGAGCCTTCCTGGAGAGAAGACAGAGGGATGCGGGAAGAATGGCCTTGGCAGTTTCAAGAACAGCACCCAACGAGGGTGTCCAGGGGGACTTGGGCTGGTCGTCCTTCGAGGCCAGAGAAGCCAGCGCCAAGGCACTGTACGAGAGGAGAGTGCACAGACTCCCGGATGGGAATTGGGCCCACCGCACCCTGCGCTACATGATATACCAGGGAAGAGGCACCAAATGGATGCACCGCCTCCGAAGGCTGCGGGACCGCTATGGTTTCGAACCGATCTGTCTGGAGTCAGCGGGCGAGAGCCGGGAGGGCCCAGCGGCAATCAGAAAGGGCATCCAAGCAGTGGAGACGGAGAGATGGAGAGCGGGAGCGGCGGCGAAGCCGTCCCTCGCGATGTACTGCGCGGAGAAGGAGGCCATAGGGAAAGAACCCTGGTACGACAACTCGACAGGCAGTGGACTCCTCGCAGAGGCCCGCATGGGCACATTACGGACCCGGGTGTGGAGGGCCAGGTTCACGGAGGGACAGGAGAGGACGTGCACACTCTGCGGGCAGACCGACGAGACGATGGAGCACCTAGTGCTGCAGTGCCGGCACATTGTACCGGTCCCAAGTACAGAGGTGCTACCTGTAGCACTCGGTTTCCGAATCGGTGCAGAACAAGGAGAGGAAGAACAAAAGAACGTTCGATCGGCGGTTGACGTGACGAAGAGGCGGCTGGAGGTCTGGTGGAAGGAGACGCATCGGCGGAGGGAATGCAACCGATCAGCGGAACATCAAGCGGAAGCGGAAGTCGCGGGAGGCGCGACAGGCTAGATCCAGTACTTGTTGCTGTTGATCACCCGATACAAAGGGAAGAGCCGCAGACTCCAATCCAATCCAATCCAACCTGATAACTAGCATACTTATTATATATTTATTTATTTATTTATTGAGCACGATTGCATAACGTTTGTTTTCGGAAAATGCGTGTCGAACCGCGACGCTGTTTGCAAACAAGATTATTATTATTATTATTTTATTTTTTTTTTTGACCGCCACCTTCAATCGCTCCGGGGACGTCAAAGTAATTTCAAAAAATATTTTGACGGGGGACGTGAAAATGTTTCTGAGAATATTTCAAATGAAAAAACTGTGAGTGCGCAGGCGAGCTGGTGGATGTGGATCATAATGTAGAAAACCCGAGACTGTGGTAAAAGCAAGGAAACGGAGTCGAAGAAGAAAGAGATGAGACGTTCTTTTCCCCTGTCTTTCTTCTTCGACTCCGTTTCCTTGCTTTTACCACAGTCTCGGGTTTTCTACATCATGACCAATATTTCAAAGTCTTCAGGAAGTGGCGTCGTGGATGTCAAACTAATATTCAAAATTATTGTGAAAGTAGACGTCGAAATAGTCTGACACCACAATAAGATGACGGGCCAGTAAAGGCTATGATTAAAATGATTAAATGATGATTAAAAAGTATTTAAAAATTTCGGGTAAATTTACTCTTTGCTTTAGGCTGAGGAAGTCGCAGTTCTTGGAGGGATTGCAGAACTGTTTTTCTCAGAAAGAAACTAAAGAGGGAGTGGGAGTAAAAGAAAAGTAAAAAGAGCAAAAAAAAAAAAAGACAGGGTGATATAGTGACGAATGTATAATCGACGAGCCTACACCAGGGGCCAAGCCCGGATTTAGGGGTCAGGCGTGATGTTACGGTCGAAATGTTGCCCATATCTATTTTGTTGCTAAGTCACCAAAAACTTAACTTTTGGCTGGTGTATATTAATGATTTTATTAAAACAAAGTTGACCTTGGGCAGCGTAGGGGGAGGCGGCTAAATCCCCAAGTTGGCCTTGAAGGTTTTGGGGGAGAGAGGTGCCCCCCCCCCCCCCCCCCCCCTTCCAATCCGCCCCTGGTCCATACATACCCCCCGCGCACCCGAAGAAGACTCGAATAAACGCCGCACAAACTCTGAGCAGCTTTTCCGGCGACCGTTCAACTTCCAGCGCCTCAAGTGGCAAGCCAACAGGATGTCAACCAATCCCATAATTCCTCGGGCTCAAGAGGCAGGCGTGTGAAAATGGCGTCCGACTACGATGAGCCGATATCCGACCAAGAAAAGGTAACTTTTTGACCGCTTTTTACGTTCTCCCGCCACGAACGGGCCCAGCGGAAACCAAAAGCATGATTCGGCCACGCAGTCAGTCCGAAACGTAACACCGGTCACCGCATAAACGTCGCACATCGAACTTTTGACAGCGGTGTGTGTATGTGTGACTTTGCCGATCTCTTCGGGAACTAGGGGGAGGACCGGCGCTGTTCGCTTCAAACGACACAATATTTTACCGTCGTTCCCAAATTATCCGCTGATCATACTCGAAATAGGGGTCAATCTTGTTACGTAGCCCGCAGGCTTCGTCCAAAGTCCGCGAACTAAGTTTGACGACTCAGAATTAGGCTTACAAGAAAAAAATAACGTATCCTACCCCTCCCCCTTACGTGATTCGCCATTTGAGTGTGCGGTTTTGCTTTTCAAGTCAAAATCCCCGAAAATTTGGCCAAACCCAGATCACGGGCTGTTCAATTAGCAATGTTAGGAACGGCACACGCCCTGCCAACGCTTAAAAAAAACTCTGGGCGAAGCATTCCAGCGACCGGCTTCGCGTTGCAACTTCAAGTGGGTGGGGGTAAGGGGGGGGGGGGGGGGGGATCTATTTTTCCGTTCTGTGTTTGTTCTCTCGTGCTCTCTTATCTGTTTCCTGCAAGCTAGAAAATTTCGAAGTCTCCGTTCGTGTGCCCCCGATGTCAGGCACGATATCGAGAGCGCACGGCAACGGTACAAGACTGCTAGCGACATCCCAATGAAAAAAAAAAAAAAAAAAAAGTCAAAACAAATTTAACACGGGCGGTTGCGAGGTCGCATACTCGGCAGCACACGAGCCGCTATTCTTCGCGACCTTTGAAGCGTAACTACGCGTGTTGGGGTGTGCTTACATTCCGCGACCGCAGAGCGTTTCATTGGGGACCATATACAGGCGGTGGTTGTGCTGAGGGTTGTTGTGAAACGAGACGGCTGCAGGCTTTTGCGCCGCCTCATGTATATATATATATATGTATTTGTTTCTTTTAATAAGCGATGAACGTCAGTTGGGATGAGTGTGTGAGTCACGCGAGTGCGTGTGCTCGGAGATTTGACGACGGAATGCGCCGGGAGAGAAAATTTGGATCTCGGGTTGCTTGGCGGCTAAATAAAAGGAAGTTAAAACAAAACGGACGTGTCGGTGGCGATGTCGGAAGGCTAAGGGGTCAAACGTGATCGCCGTGACCTACTGCTGACTGACGGTGACTCGGGGAGTGGGCCTAGGCCCTCGTTTTAATGGAAAGCGTGGAGGAACTCCCGGCGCGAAAGCTGTCGCGTGGGAAGGACGCGAGACCGGGCTTAACTGGGGCGTGATCGAAGTATGGTTTTTCTTGGTGTGCGTTTGCAGAGTGTGTGTGTGTGTCTGCCCATGTGTGGATTGATGCTTGTGACAGAAAGAGCCCTACTTTGTTTTACAAACAGGGGACGGGGTTTCGAAGAGTCAGTTATGTCGAGTGAAAAAAGCTGACATTGAGTGACATTGTATGCCGTGAAATAGATCTCCGGTGTTGCGAGACCTTTCAGAAACATGTTGAAGGCAAGGTTTGGCACAAGGTGGGAATAGCAGTATGTGCGGGCTATTATGGAAAAATATTTATTACTAAGTTGCGAATGGAACAGAAATGTACAGGTGTTGAGGCATGGTATTATCTGCTGCTCCTCTGGCTGAAGGTGGTCATTGAGACATGAAGACATCCACTGTATACAAATTCTTCTAAAACCTTTTTGCTGTAGGTCATAACGTCCTGGGACTTGGTGTTTTAGCTGGGTAGTGGGTGCCCTTTCCAAACTCTATTGCATCTCTAGTTAAATAGCAAAAAAAACTCGGTGTAGCATTGTCTCCGACGTGATAACCTAGGCGTTGATTGCCGTGTTTGTTGTTGCGTTCAAAGTGGGTGAAGTGATTCGAGGGAGAGATTGCTCGTTGATGAATCCAGCAAGGTGTCCTGTCTGCGGCTAATGCCAATTTATACTGCATCTTAGAGGCCATAATGTGGCAGTTAGCTGCTGCCTTGACTTGTTCGAACACTCGGTGATTTCGATTTTGCCGTCCCTCCTTTACTTTTCCATCAAATGTAGCTAATACACCCAGTGGCCCCCCCCCCCCCCCCCCCTACACACACACACACAGACACACACGATAAAAACAGCGCGATACACAAGGACACAGAGGAAAGAAATACATATGGGACAAGGCTTTGACTATCAACTTCCTTATTTTTAAAACAAATAAGAAAGTTGATAGTCAGTGCCTTGTCTTGTATGTATTTCTCTCCCGTGTTTCCTTGTGTTTCACGCTGTTTTTCATCATGAACGTTTACCAACCAGCACAACTGTCCATTCTTGTAAGCTTTACACACACACACTTACATACATTCGCTCATGCGCAAATGTCTGGGCCAGCCTTTACTGTTTGGCAGATACAAGCTCTTCACTGAGCAAAATAACATCAGGGTCAGTGCGCTTTGCGAATTCTGGCGGAGCAGTGGGAGTTCACGGCATTCCAAGACGACCCTTTTTAACCCTCGTGTTTCTCTCCCTGTGTCCGTTTCTCTCCCGACAGGTGCGCATAGTGTCTGACTTCATTCTACTAGCCCCGCCCGGCGAGTTCAACGAAGTGTTCAACGACGTCCGTCTGCTGCTAAACAATGACACGCTACTCAAGGAAGGGGCATCTAGGTAATCTCTCGGTGGCTGCTCTACCGTCCGTGAGAGGTGATATCGACAAAGCGACACTTCGAAAAGCTTTTTTCTTTTCTCGTGAAATGCGTTGCTCGATAACTTACGGGAAATGCGGGAATTGAAACTTTCGCAGAGTAATGCAAAGAGTGTGTAAGTTAGTCGCCCAGGCGACCACAGAAGTCTAGCATGTCGTGTGCACGTTCAGCTTTCTATGCTCACCATCGTAGCCGGTAGCACCTGTTTCACCAGCTGATTGGTTGTTTAATCGATTCCTCACTAAACAGGCAAGAAATCGTCCATTTGGTGCTCGGTCGGTGTTGCCTGGAACACTGCTGACGCACGTTTCAGCCGCAAAACCGAGCTATAGTGTTTGTCCCCTGAAAGGTAGATTCATGTGCTCTGTGCGGCATTAGGACATCTGTTGCACAAGAATAGACAAAGAAAACTTCAATGGGAGTTAGTGACTTACGTGCACCTTTCAGCTTTTTCATCAAATCGATTGGTCATATTTTCTTTCAGTGCATTTGCGCAATACAACAAGGACCAGTTGACGCCGGTGGATTTAGAGGGCTCTGACAGCAAGGTGAGTTTGACATGCTTCCTCCTGCATCTTTTTTACCTATCTCTCAGAGCACCTTCCGACATTTCAGTTCAGAAGCTTCTAAACTTTGCACCGGGTGGTCTGCGTGGCATACTGGCATTCCTACGGAGCTCTAGGCCGCAGCATTTCGTTTTATTTGTTCCGGTTTCCGAAGCTAGCATTCTTCGAGCTCTGGAAAGCCCTGCTAAATGGATTATCCGTCACCAAAAGATAATCCCTTTCTCGTTTGTTTCGTTGAGGGGAGGGGTGGGGGAAGACGGGGAAGATTAGGGAGCCTCTTTAGGCACAATCGGCAAAAACTTGCATGCGTAAAATGAATCTGAGATCAGTTTTGTGCTTAAAGGGGCCCTGCAACAACTTTTTGACTGGTTTTTAATTTTCACCGAACCTGAGCGCACTGAACGTAGTAACTTAAAGAAACTTTTTTCTCAAATTTCGCTTTATTTTAAAAGTTATAGGCAAATTAGAATTACAAAAAAAGGCAAAAAATAACCTCCTTTATGATGTCGTAGGTCCTGGCTTGAGTGGCCGTGAACTAGAGGAGGAGTAGTGAGCTCATCGAGCGCTCACGACTGCCGCACTCCGTGTCGACCACTAGAGAGGGCGCCACTAAATTACGTGTTGGATAGGCTGTATGAAGCGGGTGGCCAGGGAAGCTCGCATTGCATTTGCTGCGTGATTAAAGACTAATTCAGCCTAACACTTCATTGGCCACGAACGACAGCAAACACTGGGTAAAGATCAGTTTAGAACGGGAGCCACTTCGCGCTGCCATACCGCCAAAGGGCCAATTTGCTAGCCAAGCCCGTGCCGAGAGCCTTTGGAACGCTCGAAATCGGTCGGATCCTCGAGCCAGTATACGACCGCAGCGCCGCCGCGTACATCCGGGGCCTTTCTACGCTCGCCGTTCGTCAGAGCGTCATCCCACTAGCCCTTTCTAGTATGCGCTGTTTTTTCCGCCGCTTGGTGGCGGGTTTGTCGACGGGTCTTTTCTTGTTTACGTACTTTATAAACTGCATTTGTTTCCTTTCTGATCTAAAATACTGAACAAAAACTACTTTTATAAATAATTGAAACGGTTCAGTTTTTTGTAGTCGAAATACAAAATATAAGTCGCTTATATTTTGTATTTCGACTACGAAAAAGCTTTTAGCGGCTCTGACCAGTAGTAAGCCCAGGACCAAAGACGTCGCATTTTGCGCGCTTTCGGTACAGCGGGTCGCCCTCATCAGTGGAGGAGGTTTCCGCGTCGTTCGGTCAAAATATGACTCACTGATATTTAGTTACTCTCTCCGTGCCCGCTGGCTTGCCTGAATCCCAAGAGACGTGGAAACCGCAAAAAAGGTAGGCGCTTAGATATGATTGCAGGGCCCCTTTAATAAATGCAAATTGCTTACTCCAAGAACTTGTTAGCCGAATTTGGAAAACATTGTTTCCCGGTGTCGTTAAAGGGACCCTGAATCCCCGAGAAAAATTCTTAAGCCTGGGATGGGCCTCAAATATAACAAAATGCAACTGCCCACAAAAAAAAAAAAAAAAAACATTTGTGTTGTGACATGCAAGTTAGGCGGAGTTGCAACTGCAGCATGCTGACCATCCTCCTTCGCTTCTTTCTTGCATGCTTTCCCTTGGCATGCGGAAACCGAAGCTGTGGTGCGGAGTAGGTGTGCCTTTCTTGCACGCTCTCCAGCCAATCGGAGGCTCACAAAATTACTTCTATTCTGCCATTACTGACGTTGGCCAAAACGTCAAAGGTCAAAACATGCGTCAACTTTAAGCAGGCTTAGCATGCTAGTGGACGAAATTTTTCCAAACTTGTGTGTCATAGCATAAATATTGTGCTGATTTACTTTTTTGTTTCTTGCGGTATGGGTACTTTAATACATTCTGTTCAAGCGGTTAAAGAATAAAAAACGGAGTCTCGCAAAACTCTTGTTAAGAGTCATTTTCTGTTAAGTGTTGGTACGACGCTCTATTTCTGATGTTACATCTGCTGCTGACATTAGTGATCTTACATCTGTGTGACGTTAGATCTTTTCTTGACTTTATGTCTGCCTATGACGTTATATCTGCTCGTGATGTTGCATCTGTCTGATTTTGCATCTGCTCGTGAAGTTAACATTTGTCCGTGATGTTACATCTGCTCTTGACGCTGGACCTCTTTTCACTATCACTTCCTCCCTCAGCCACGAAAGATAAATTCTCCATCCAAAGGTGTTCTTTTGGTATGCAGCGTCCCCTTCACTGTCCTCGACGCACGTCTCATTCCAGGCGCTGATCACGCACTACAACGACCTGGGGGAGGGCCGCTTCTACGACACGCGCACGAGGCAGTCGTTCCGCTACGACCACCTGCGCAAGGAGGCGAGCGACTACCAGAGCCACCCCGGCGGCCCGCCCGGGCAGCAGGGCGGGGACAACGCGGGGGGCGGGAGCTACGCCGAGGCCTGGCGGGCCGCCCTGGAGGAGGCCTGGACGCAGTACGCGAGGGACCACTACCGCCACGGGGCGTGCGCCGTCTACGACCGCAGCACCAGCCCCCAGGAGGTGACCCTGGTGGCCTGCCTCGAAGACCACCAGTTCCAGTCACAGAACTTCTGGTGGGTCCTGGGACGGCAGTAGAACACTACACGGGCCTACTTTTTGAAGCAGAGAGGGAAAACCATGGGCCATCGTAACTCTAGCGGTTGGTCGTACAAGCGGCAGAGTAACAGCAGGTGAATGGGTGGTGGTGTTGCTGGCATTACAGCGTCTCCACGCCCGTCCAGCAGCGGTTTTTGTTGACCAGCTGACCGTTGAGTAGTCTAGGGCAGAATGGGCATTTGTTAGCTGTCTTCACGGTTGCGGGGATACGCAGTATCCTTCACTTGTGCTATCGCCGAGCATAAATCGGTTACCTAGTTTTGCTTTTTGGGGTTACCTAGTGTCAGTGAAGTACGGCATTGCATGCGGCCTGGTAGGTCTGGAGTAGGGTGGCTTCTTTGCCAGTTTAACTGGATCACTGACATTACTATCTGGAACTGGGGGATTACTGAACTGATATTTACTGAGCTTGCCAAAGTAATGTTGCAATAAGCAGCTGCTGTTTGATCTTCGTACGAGCAAGCAATATTTGTGTGCAACTTCGGTGTTTTTGGCAGCAGTGGGCAGCATCAAAACTGCACGTTCAGGGGCTAAAACCCAGATCCTCTCAACATGTTGGCAGCCACCGTATAGAGGCATCAATGATAACGAAATTTTTTGCCGGCCACTGCGTATCTGCATTATCGTGGCATACAAGACCCGCATGTACAGGGAATCATGCCACTCAGTGTACGAGCGTTTTGTGTCACAGAAGGCAGGGTCGGTAAATATTTTACGAAAACAGTGTCGCGAGCACAGGCTTCGGTGTACAAGTGTATGTATACACTCCGTGCGGGAACTATAGGGGGCGCTTTAAAAAACGCGCGTAGCGCCGCTGGCGGAGGAGCTGGCGTTCGACAGTGAGGCGTGCTCAGCAGCCTACGGCGCCTTTTCGCGTGCGAAGCTGTGGCGGCGGAAGCGCGCACGGACGGAACTTTTGCTTTTTGAGCCGATAAGTTGAGGGTGACGTTGCATGAGTGCTGGGGCAGACCTAAGAAGGGCATTTAGTTGTTCTCCGCTTCTTATATATTGAGTTTGAGTCGTTATTAGGGGTAATTTCTTTAGTTGCGGTCGAAAAAGGGGTTTGAGCAATTTTCCGAAAAGCAAGACGGCCGCCACCATAATTGCTCTCAGTGGGAAATTCGTTTCGCTCGTCGCTGTAGAGGTAGGACTGCTGGGACGATGATATTTGGAGGCGAGTGTGATGTTCACTAAGTTTGTGCGCTAAGTGGGCCAAGTTCTTTAAGACAGCAAGTGTGAAAGTTATGGTTCGAACGAATAAAGGAATAAAGCTGTCAGGAACATCTAATATTGGACCCAAAATGTTGTGTTATAACCGGGCTGTGCGACGTGCAGATTTGGACACACAGGTTCTTGGACATGACCGTAACTTGACACAACAGTTATAATACCAAAAATAGGTGGAATAGGAAAACCAGGTGGACATTTGGTTTGGGCGGCGTAACTGAAGGGGAAACAGTTTTGACCGTGAAAGGGCTCTCAGGAGTATACCACGCGTCGTGGGAGATGGAGACTTTACAGGTAGGAAGGGACTAAGTGCACTGTACTTCCAATTGAAACAACTTTACGAAAGGTGGCTTCAAAGCCGAGAAAACCAAGTTGCCGGCCAACACGGTTTGACCGTCAAAGGCTTTTGCGGTCAGCTGTTGTGTAGTAATCTGGTTGTGCGAGGTGCTGATTTTCGGCACACAGGTACTTTGACAACCGTAACTTGACAAAACACTTATTATGCCTAAAAGAGGCGGCATAGTTTAACCAGGTGGAAATATTTTTGGGCTGTGTAACTAAATGGAAACCGGTTTTGACCGTCAAAGGATGTCAAGAGTATACAACTCATCATGGCCGGGAGGTGCACACTTTATAGGTAGGAACAGTGCTTAAAGTCCACGAAAATTGAGGGGGGTCCCTACAAGAAGGTGGGGGAAAGGGGGGGGGGGGGGGGGTTGATGAGATGTAATAGATGCACATAAAATGAACCCCACTGCTGACTCTGTCCACGCTGTACCTGCAACCCTCAACCCCAAATTTCACATCTCTGAAAACAAGCTATTTTATTGCAAGACATGATTTTGATTTCACTAATGCTGGGGCTGTGGAGGAGGGTATCAGACCATCCGTTAACACCAGTGGGTGGTCGAGACCCCCTGAGACCCCCCAAACTGTAAGCCCTGGGTAGGAAGGGACCAGTGGACGGTACTTCCAGTTCGAACAACTTTACGATAAGTGGCTCTAAAGCCGAGAAAAAAAAATTGTTGTCTACAAGACTCGGGGTGTCAGCGTTTCCACATCCAAAAGGAGGTTGATCAAAAAAGAAAGCACACCAGATAAACTTCCATACTCAAACATCAATTGTCCAGTGATTCAAAGTTTCATTGTAGTTTTCCTTAGATTCATATTTGTCAATTTTTGTTCCGTCCGAATCTTTCTTCATGAAGTACAGACCGCGTGCCATACTGGTCCGGAAAGATCATCGACACGTACAATAGGGATGAAACTTCTTTCGAGGGCATTTCTTCAACGAAATTCGCACTGCATACCCACGAGTGTGGGATGGCATTTCAGTTCGAGCTGAGATATGTATGCGTTACTGGTACGAAAACAAACGCAGAGTGCAAAGCGGCAGTGTAGAATATGTCAGCCGTGCCGACACAGTGGCAGACATGATCGGGAGACCAAATTTCTCGCGTCGTATGGCACGGGTCCATCGTTGTCGCTGTCCCACAAAACATCGGCGAGGTGAAAAGCTGTGAAACTTCGTCCCCACGAGATACGACGCATACGTATTGGAGCACTTAACGACGCAGCAGTTCATGCTGTTAACCCAGCGGAACCGCACCGCTCCGACTTCAATGCGTACCAATGTACGCGGCGTGGTTCCGTTCCGTAGGGGCTCTCACTACCTACCTTCAGTAACGGCCGCGCGGCGGCGCGCCGGTCGCGTCGCACGGAGTGTATAAATAAGTGGACTCGTGGAGCAAACTCCTCGAGTGGGAACTCAGATGCCTGTACTTGCGAGACGTCAGACGTGGTGCGCGCTTGGCTACCTTCTACATTTTCATAGTCTCATGCGCATGAGACATGAGACACACATCTGCACATGAGACGCATGTGCACATAAGACACGGATGGTTTCTTCCACTTGCAGTTTGTGACTTGAAAACTGTCTTACAGTTTTGCTTCTCTTTTCTTCTTAGGAATGGCCGTTGGAGGAGCGTTTGGACAGTCAACTTCCCAACCGGTGCCTCGTCAGCTGACGTGAAGGGCCTTGTCAAAGTTCAGGTGAGGTTCTCGTCTGAGGGAGCGTAGTGCAGCCACATTTTATTGCTGTCACTGCGCGAGAAGTTCCAGGGCCATGCTACCGGGAAACGGTAGCAGCGCACAGCAATAAGAGACAACTTCTATAAAGTCCAGCGTGCAATGTTGCATGCGTGGCATTTTAGAAACCAGTTGTCCGGGGGCGGAGGGTCACATCTCGGTTTAGGTCGACGTACCGACAAAGATGTTGTTGCGAAACTTTACTTAATCTGTCGACCATGCAAAACGTTTACAGTAAAACCTCGTTAATTCGGATCTCATGGGACTGGCAGAAATGTCCGAATTATCCGAAAGTTGAAATACCGAGAGGACAATGAAAACTGCGCGAAAACGTTTCCCTGTGACATACCTTTATTTTGAAAAGAAATCTGTTATTGCCGCCTGCTTTCTGGACGACATTTGAACGGAGACGGCAACTTTCCTTAGCGCGGTTGAGTGCTCCACCGCAGTCGCACTGTCAGAGCTACGCATCCCGTGCGCTGACGATTTAGCACAGTAAGGCCTCTTCTAATTTCGGGTGCACCACCTTCCACAGCCGCTTTCTTTTCGCGTTGAACTTCTCGCTTTCAAAAGCCTGTAGGATCTCGGCCTCAATTTTCACATACGTGGCCAAAGTGCTCCTCTTGACGTCGCAAGCTTCCATCATTTCTTGTTGAGAGACGCCGTCCTTCAAGGCCCTCAGCATTTCCACTTTCGTCACTAAATTCTTGGCCTGGTACAGCTGTAACGGAAACCGAGTAGCACAACTGACCTATGATTGGAGCGGCAAAATTGCGACACCCGGCACTATTTCTCCCCAGCGCGCCGATAGCAAGAGTGGCAGTCAAGTTGCATGTTTCAACGTGGGTACTGAGGGATAAGATAGCTGTTAAAATACAGGCTTTAGGGTGGGCTGCTGTGTGCCAGCCACCCCGTGTTGAGGCATGAAATGTGACTGTCACTCTCGCTATCGGCGCGCTCAAGAACAATAGCACCGCGTGTCGCGATTTTGCCGCTTTGGTCGTCAGTCACTTGTGCTACACTTTTTCCATGCCAGGAGTGTAGCGCGCTGACGCACGTCAATCCAGAGCAAAACTGGTGCAAAACATGGCGAACCGGAAGAGCAAAGAACCATGGGAAAACCGAAAAAACCACGTGGGCACCTCGGATGGATAGCGGTCATACCCTTTGGAACAGATGGCAGCTTGCGCCACCTGCCGAATTCGTCCGAATTAACCGTAGCGCGCCGCGTTCCCTCCGAATTAGGGTAATGAGCGTTTGGTGCCATTGACTAATACACACGTTTGACGGGACCGGATCAGCAGTTCAAATTATTCGAAGTAGCGGGGGTTGAATTAACGAGGTTTTATTGTACACGTTTTTGCCCGGGCACTTTGTTGGCGCACATCATTTTTTGGCCTTTGTGAACTAAAGCTTAAATGCATACAGTAATCCCTCATTATAGCAAAGTCAATGGGGACAGCAAAAAAATTTGATAAAAGCGGTAATTCGATTAAAGCGTGAGAGCTCACGAGCAGGAGCATGCCAGACGTTTTTTTTTCACTTTTTTTTTCTGGCTCTCGCTGCTGAACCCCCGAGCAGGGGCACGCCGGACAGCGGACGGACATACGGACATGGCTAGTCCCTAAGGAGCTTCGCCCCTAAAAAAGACAAGAGATCAGTTTGCCGGGAGTTTTTGCCAAGCATTAAAAAGGACTCCTCCAAGTGCCTTAAGCACCGCATGAGGCTGTCGTCGTCACCTCCGCACTCCACCTTGTTGCATAGAAGGGGGAGCACGTTTCGTGTTTCTCCAGTCGTGGGTACCTCTCGGGGCTCCTAATCCAACGTTTCTTCGTCTTGACTCTGGCCACACACGAGGTCCACAATCTCGGCATCCGTCATGTGAGTTACTACAGAGATTTCTACACCCATCAGTGCAAACCAGCTGAAGTCATCTTCGGGAGTTGCACGGAGGATCTTGTGCACGGTTCTGTAAAGGTCATCACAGATCTCGATGTCATCCGCTGGCACATCAAGCACGCGCGTGTGAAAAAAGTCGGCATGTGCGAAGCAATTGGCTATCTTTCTAGCCTCCTGTTCCCTCCACGAAAAATCTAGCAGATGAATGGCACCGAGCAAGTTGATACTGTAGCCTTTGCTGCAGTCGTAAGCAAGGAGCATGCACTGCAGAAGGTTCCTGCGGTGCAGTTTCCTACTCGTTTCAATAATACCTTGTTCCATGGGCTGCAATACTGAAGTTATGTTGGATGGCAGAAACTCCAAAGTGATGGCTTGCAGGTTTTCAATTTTCCCATGGCTGGGACAGTTGTCGGCAAAGAACAGCACCTTGCGCTGCTCTTTCGCGAACTTCCGATCCAAATGGTACACATAGTCTTTGAAGAAAGCAGCGGTCATCCACCCGCGCTTGTTGTTTTTGTATATGCAGTCGTCAGTGGGCACCACGTTCTGGAAATACCGAGGCTTCTCAGCCTTTCCTAATATCAGCAGGGGGAGCTTGTCACCCGTAGCATTCGCTTCAAACACACACTGACGCGCTCTTTGCTTGGCTTGCCTCCAGACGAAAAGCCACCCGCAGTCGTATAAGTGCGCTTGGGCAAAGTTTTGTAGAAAGACGCAGCCTCATTGAGATTGTAGATGTCCTTTTCCATGTACTTCTCCAGAATTTCGGCCAGGCGATGCCTTCGCCACATGTCCACAGTGTCCTTGCTGACCGTCCCACTTTCGCGTACTATCGTTTTTGAGGTCGCACCATGCCGCTTCTTAAATCGCACGAGCCACCCGTTGCTGCACTTGAACTCTGGTTTGATCATTTGCAAGGCCAGCGCCTCAGCCTTGGCAGTCGATGCGGGACCATGGACGGGCAAGTTGGCGGTCCTGGCATTCTTTAACCATTCGAGAAGTGCAGTTTCGACTTTGGGATACTTTGAATCCTGGACGCGCTTTCTCTTACTTGAGAAGCTCCTTTGGAACCCTCTTAGCACATCCTGCTTGTTTATGAGAATGGTTGAGAGCGTCGATGTCAGGATGTTGAATTCTTTCGCAATTTCCAACTTCGGTCGACCACCTTTCTCCACTTCTCGGATCAGCTTGACTTTCTGTTCCAGGGTCAAACACTTCCATGCAGGCTTTGGCAGTGCCATTAGCAGTACAGCAGGTTGCACGCAGCTACCGTACACGCGGCAGACGGGCTGTGCTGCCTTCGCAACACTGAACACGATATCAAAGGTGTTGCCTCGACGTGCACATGATCTGTAAATGCAGCGTCGACTCAAGCTGGCAAACACGTGCATTTCATGCGTCGCGACCAAGTCAACCGCAGTACAGCCACAGCTACAGGGGAGAGGATGTATCTCGACATGTTCAATAGGAGGAACGGGAGAATCCCAACCCTTCTCTCTCATTCCTCTATTTTCTCCTTTTGTACAGGTCGGCATACACTTTCTCCCCTGTAGCTTTGGCAGTACTAAACGGTTTTAGTGAGACGGAGTTTTTCTTTTTAATATATAACTTGGGACGGTGCTTCCAAAAAGGTGGGTGCCGGCAGGGGATGGGCTTCCTTGACTTGATTTCGACAAGAGTTGAGCCGCGGGCACCACGGGCACCGTGTGAAGTGTCGGAACTGTCGCTCACCGTGCAGCTGCATTCCTCTGCGCACACAGAGCTCCCGAAGGGGCAATTTCCCGCCTTCTTAGCTCCCTTGACCGGACAAGTCGGAATCGAGTAAGAGATGGGCGCCGGGCAGGTGTGTCGGGGTTCCAAAGGGGCGGGCGCGACAGACACTCTGGATGCGAGGCACATGCTTCGCGCTCCTCGCACATTTTTAGGGGCGAAAGATGATATACCTTTTTGCAGCTATTGACTTTTTGCACACCTCTTGGAAGGATTGCGCTGGCTTACATACTGCACTTTCGCTGGATCGTCCTTTGTAATAAGCATGTTTGGCCGCCGATACACTTCGAATAATCCAGTTCAAAATGCCTGCATTGCGATCGGGACCGCGTCAAACTTAGAAAAATGTGTTAATTCGTAAAAAGTGATTTTATTCTAACGAAGGATTACTGTGGTCGGTTTTATTTCTTTATGTGTCGGGGATCCGGGTGTGCTTGGCCACTACACATTTATTGACGTTTCTATTTATTACTGTCAATGCATCTTTGCTCTAAATTATGGCTCGCTAACATAGACACAACCTTGCAAGCATGCGGCTTTCTTTAGAAAGTGCAAGAATTTGCATGAAGCGGATTCGACACGAGTGCTGCTTCAGCGTTCGGCGGAGGCTCGTCTTCAATCGGCGACAGATCGTGTCTCAGCCAAAATCTGACGCGACTTCTCAGCGAAATCTGACGCAGCAGCACGCTCACCCTGTTTCAGGGTGAGGCTGTTGGCTGAGCACAGCTGTCCACGTTACTTTCAGTATAGAGGGGCTTTAGGCACAGCACGTTTGCCGACACGTGCAGGCATGAACTGTCACAACATACTGAAGACAAAACAGACCAGTTGCCCGGAGGACGCGAGTTGCGCCCTGTCTGGGATGGAAACCGATTTATTCTCACTTAAACCTTCTCCACCTTGGGGACTTCCCCTGACTGAACGGAGTTCTGCTAACTGAGTTCAAGATTGCAGCTTCTTTGGCATCACCAATGGCAGCCAGCATTAGGGACGCACCTTGTACTGTTTCAGAATGCGGGGGAAGTACAGACAGAACTGTAGCAGCAAATATTGTCGGAAGGGACATGTTAGGGATTGGAGCCGCCTTTATAAAGGATTTCACAGGTTGCTAAGGTCAGCTCTACCATTAGTGCAGCCATTGGCGATGCAGCTTCCGTCGTGTCTGTTTTGTTTGTATGAAGTGTTTTTTTTTTTGTTGTTTTTTTTTTCAGTGTAAAAAAAGAAGGAAATTTGTATTACAGTGTAATCCACTTATAACGATACCAGATATAACGATATATCGCTTATAGCGATCAAATTTTTTAGATTTGATCGCTATTTTTTTAGATTTGATTTCATCCAGATATAACGATAATCGGCTATAACGATTGGATTTTGCGGTTTTCTCAATATCGTTATAAGTGGACTGCACTGTATATACTGTTTTAAATGTTCATGAACACTCAAAAGGGCATCTATATAATCTGTCTGCATCATCATTTAGAAAGATAATGCAACACTATATACGGTTTCAATTTGGAGTCAACCGCAATAAAAATAACTGTGTTATTTGAGACGAACCACAGGGGACAGCGTGCTCCTAGGTCCTTGAACCGCTTTAAAACCCTTGAATTTGAAAATAAGGGTTTTTGAGGCCCTTGAAAACACTAAATTTTTGTGCTAGACCTTGAAAACCTTTGAATTTGAAAGTTTGAATGGCAGGATCCTTGAAAGCCCCTGACTTTATACGTAGTCCTTGAAAATCCGTGAATAGCTATAACAACAAAGGCCGTTATTTTTTTACATTTTTGTTATGCTTCTCGATTTTTTCGTTTCAGTTTTCTAAATTTGTATAAATCTAGCCAATGTTTGTTGGATGGTTGGCCACATGGGAGCAGATCCAAACCAATCCAATCTGGGAATGCTTTTGCACATTGTTTCCGCCTTTGGCATGTTTCATCATCAAGTGTTTTACGACCGGCGCTGCACTTTCTTCACGATGATGCTAGTGAAATGTCTGTATAAGTAAGAAAATGCCCAACAAAACCAAGCTTCAAGATGTGTGGCTCTACAACGATGAATATAAGGATGGTGACGCCAGATACGACAAATCAGCATCGTGCAAGATGCAAGCCTTGTTTTAAAGCCTTCGATGTCACCGCCGTGGGCGAGTCAGCATTGAAGTACCATTTGGAAGCAGAAAGGAACCAGTGTTAAGATGCGAAGCAGCCAAAAAGGCACTACATTGACGAAGAGATTGACACCATGAAAACACGGAAAAGGAAACTTGAAGCAACAGTTGCTGATCTCGCAACTTCAGCAGATGGCCTATTCTGAAAAAGCAGAAAAATAAAACGACCTCACATACACCGTCCAAACAAGCAGCCCGAGGAAAACTGCAAAAAGCAAGACGGAGGAGCTACCGTATTTACTCGCATAATGAACGCACCCCCCACAATGGGCATCAATTTGACATTCTTTTTCCCCTTGCGTATAAACGCACCTCCAATTTTCGGCTCCGCGAGTCTCAAAATGCGTCCAACTTAGCTAACCACCAAGCCAATTTTCTTTTGCCGCCAAGTGGCTAGTCCAAGTCAAGCCAAGCCAAGCTGCTTTCGTAATGGCTGCAAGTGCTTAATTGCGGAAGTGACAAGCGACTGGGCGGAGCACACGCCTAACGAAGCTGGGGTCGAGGAATTGCCCAGCCCTGGGCATGCTTCGTCCATCGTATGTACCCTATTTATGTCAACAAACACTCCATCGTTTGTGGTCCGCTTTCGGACGGAAATCGTAAAAGTGGTTGGGCCTAAGAATGGTCGCGTGGCTCTCCGTGCTGAGTGAGCTTCATAGGGTGATTTTCCTTCGGCAAGAGGCACGCCGAAAGTGCCCTAAAAAAGGTTTGCAATTTATAGAGCATGGTTACTGTGGCGTTCCCAGGACCAGCCCTGGGTGTGCATCCGTCAGTGGGGACGTGCCTCATTACCCTGCCGCGTCATATTGGCACCTAAATTGACATTTGCGCTAAGTGTGAAAATGCAGAAATTTCACCCCGCTTAAAAGGATACTTCAACGAAATTTGAAATATATCCGTCGTGTTCAAAGATAGGTTGAATATGTTCCACAATATCCTTAAATGACAATCACAGGTTTGTATTTTGAGCCTGGCGGCTGTATTTTTTGTTATGAACCGCCCACTCTAGCAAGCGCTCGGAGAAGGCCCAGCTTAGAGCGCGTGACATCCGACACAATCGTGACGTAGGTCTTCTCGGGACGAGCAAAGCTACGGCGAGGCTGACGTCGAGGGGATGGCCCAGTCATTCCAGCCACCTAAGCGGCTGCTTTTGTACGAATTTTGAGTGACGGGTTAATCTTTTTTAATCTTGTAGGGGGACAATAGCTACTTCTGGAACACACAAAAGGGATTCTCGGGAAGACGGGAGTTCCTGTTTCCGGTCATTTCTCATTGTGTCCGGAGGTGAGACACTCACCGTCACTAGCTGTCAAGGTTCCTAGACGGGCATTACAAACGAGGTGTTTGCGACATCCACCAGGTGCTGTTTGCTAATTGTTTAATTCGTTTTAAAATTCCTTTTCATGACTTTTTACGAGATATTGGTGTCTTCGATGTGATACTGCTCCTTTGAACACATATAGACCATAAAATAAGCGCCGAAGTTTCGTTGTAGTATCCCTTTAATGAGCGCACTACCCAAATATGTAAATTTTCCTGGAAAATAAGTGCGTTCATTATGCGAGTAAATACGGTACTCAGCGTCAGCCAGCAAATACAGGAAGATCTGGACGAGCTCCCCTGAAGTTACCAGAAGCGGTTTTGCAAACTGGATTGCTGTTTTGGCTTTGTGCAATGCGAGCAGTTTTACAAGATAGATCCGTTTAAAAATGATCTAGGGTTGTAAATTGGGCCAGTTGGTAACAGTTAAATATGATGAAAAACAGCCTTAGTAAACATGGACGACGAAGGGGTAACGAACACGACAGGACAATGGCCGACTCGCAACTGAAGTTTATACTATGAAAAGAAAACAAAGGAAACTTCTTAAACGTATTACACACACACATATTTAAAGGAAACTTCTTAAACATATTGTACGCACACATACCGGTATTTAAACACGCCTACCAGGCAACAAGGGGCCGCCGAGATATTGCTTTACAAATTGGAACTCATGTTAAACCGAAGGTATGTTATCTCCTTGGAGAGCACCACCGATGGTTCACTGGCACATCTGTCAGCCGAGGTAGCAGGTTTCCTTTTGAAACAGGCAAAAGGCATAGAGAAGAGAAAGACAGGTGTGGAGAGAAGTCGAATGGTGGTAGTCTCCTACCTTCATTGCCTCCCACAACCTAAAACAGGAGGTCGGTACGGGATACCTGTTGTGTTTTCATCTGCAGAGAAAATGAGCCAGGTATGCGCGAGAGTTAGTGCTGGCATCGAAAAACGTCTGCAAGCTAAGTGCACAAAAAAAACGAACAAAAAAAAACATTAAAAACTTTTTGCGGCCTGTATGTCGGGTGTTGTCTACCGGACACACCTGGGACACCCCGGTCGTGTGGAAAATCCTAGGGAGGCCAGACAGGGAGGTGTTTAAAGGAAAGGTTGAGAAAGCACACTTACTTTCTTAGGGCTGCGGTCGGTCGGGGGACTGCTAGCTCTACATTACCGAGATTGTTCATGTCTCCCTTCTTTTGATGACGCGGTTGTTGTGGGCAGACACCGAGACAGAACGACTCGAGAAATAATTGAAACATCCTGTATTTCTTGGTTGGTAGACAGATGTGTCGGTGAACCATCGGTGGCATTATCCAAGGAGATAACTTACCTTTGATCTAACATTAGTGCCAATTTGTAAGGCAATATCTTGGTGGCCTCTCGTTGCCTGGTAGGCATGCATTTTAATCTGTGTGTGTAGTATGTTTAAGTTTGCTTTGTTTCCCCTTCATAGACTAAACTTCAGCTGCGAGTCAGCTGTTGTCCTGCCGTGTTCGTCTCCTCTTCGTCGCCCATATATTTACTGAGGCTGAGTTTCACAAAAAAAAAGTCAGAGGACACCTGGGCACTTCTTACGAGTTGTGAATATGAAAGCATGAAAGTCGTTCTTCCGCTCCTTTGGTTCGGTTGCAGCGTAGTGGCATGGACGACCATGTTTCCCTGGCCGAGCGCACGCTCTCGTGAAGTGGCCGCACCGCGCTGAGCTCAGTTGTGCTCCCTCCCGGGAGCTTGCCCGAGCGGGCTCTGCCGCCAGGCCCACGCCACCACACCGATCTTGCTGGCGGCCGATCCGCTGTGTGCGCTGTGCCACCATGGAGAGGGCTTCTCTGTTGGCTTTTTTTGGAGCTACGCCGCACGAGATCCATTGGAAGCCTTGTTCCTTGATGACGTGCACCAGCCAATGGGAGCATAATCCATCAGAAATCGGCTTCACTCCATTAGGAAGGGGGAGTTTAGATGCCGTTTGGCGTGGTTTTAAAGCTGATGACATTGGTTCGCTCCTTGGGGCAGTTAATGCTTTCGCATTAAAATGATACCCGCCATTTTTCAACAGCGCCTTACTGTTAAAAACTGCTGCGTGCAGCATCGAGTTGAGTCCTTGAAAATACTCCAACAGGGCCATGAAATCTCTCGAATATCCTTGAATGTCTCTCTTTGAAACCTTTACGTACCCTGAATTGGGGCTGCTAACTGTTCACAGTTGAAGCGGCCCGTCTAACAAGGGTATTAAAGTGTCCATAGCCGAATGCCATCCTTCCCTTTACTGTTGAGGACTACCACATTTCTTTTTTTGTCACAACTTGCCTTACTTGTTACACCAGCTTTAATGGCAGACTAATAGGTGATGTTTTGACGTTGCAGGTTCACTATTACGAGGACGGCAACGTCCAGCTGGTCAGTTCGAAGGAGATCAAGTCTACCCTCTCGATCACTGTGAGCCCCCCCCCCATTCTCACTTCGCTTTGATTTGTCATACTTTGCGCGAAGCGTAAGCGAGAGATCGTCGCCGTGACGAAACGAGTGCGGCTTGCGCGTCTTTGCAGAGTGAGCAACAGGCTGCCAAGGAGTTTGTGCAAATCGTGGAGGATGCCGAAAACGAGTATCAGGTGAGGAACGGCACGTCCCCCCCATTCGTGTGCGTTGCCCTTTGCATTGTGTCGGTCGTGGCCGAGGTTTACCGTTTTAAAGCGATCGCTATATATCCAAACCCTACTTGGATTTCTTGCTCTTGTGGTTGTACCGTAGTAAGGCCATAAGAGAGCCTTGGCAACGACGAGCAGCCGTTAGTTTGACGTCATAGCCCCTGCCACAGGAAGCGAAGTGCCATGTTATGTGAGTGCCACGTGGTGTCATGCTCTTCCCTGTTCTCTGCCAGGAACAGCGTAGTAAGTTAGGAACTGTGTATATGTATAACAACCTAGTGGGTGGGGATGCGTTTCGAAGCGCTGCTCGTTAAAAAACCCGTAGCATTTTTAGAATCTCTTAGCCGGGCAGTTTTTAGCTCTGCAGCATACATCCACTTTGATAAAACTGGTCAATTCGTAAGGCGGATGACAGTCCCGGTCATAATGCCAGATGGCGCAGTTCCGTCGCAACGTGTGACAACGCCCGACGACTTGTCGACATTGCAGACTGCCATCTCCGAGAACTACCAGACGATGTCGGACACGACGTTCAAGGCGCTCCGTCGACAGCTGCCCCTCACGCGGACGAAGATAGACTGGACCAAGATCCTCAACTACAAGATTGGCTCGGAGCTCAAACACCACTGACTCCCCCGTCCCCTTTCCTTTTTATTCCTTCCGTGCCTCGTTTCTTCGATTTCCCCCTTCCACTCCGTTTGATTCGTTTTCTGCTTTTTTCCTGCACCTAAGTTGAGCACACTGCCCGTCGGAAATCGTCGAAGTGTCTCGGCGACGTGCGTTGACCGGTCGAATGATGCAAGTTATAGCAATGTTTAGTCCAGGGTTGGTTTTGGCGGGAAGATTATGTTGTGTGAACGCTTGCCGGCCGCGTTTCCGTCTTGGCTAATTATTTTTTATCAATTAGTCTCGCCTCCTTTTTTTTTTCGAGCGAATGGCAGTCAACATTTAGGTTGAGGGGAAGTCTCGGTAAAGAAAGAAAGCTGGTTTTGTTTGAAGACAACTTCCGGTAATGTCGAAGACACTCCCGTTAAAACCGGTTGGGGTCAACTTGACAATCCTCACGCATCCGCGTGTGGTGTGGTGTGGTGTTGTGCACTTTTTTTTTACACCCTTTTTTTTTCGTTTTACATATCTAATTTCACAATTGAGCGTTTCTTTACACCTGTTTGATTTCTTTTTTGTTTGAAAATTAACTCGGAAGTTGGGAGAGTAGGAAAAAAGACAACAAAATGAAGTTCGAGGGACTGTTGTGTTTGTATGATAGCTTTTTGTACGGCTCCTTTCGTGCGTGTGCATGTGTGCACACGTTGCTCCGGTACAGCGCTTAGTCGCAGGTATATATTTATGTTGGCTCTTTCTCCGACTTGTCTCTATTTTCCACGGATTTATTATTTTTTTTGTGCGTGTGTGCGTGTGTGGTGGTTGGACGAACTAAGAACTAAAGTCATATTGGCGAGTCCTTGCTTTCTCTCGATTGAGTTATTTTCAGTGGGAGCAGGGAACAAAGAACTTTTTCTCTTGAAGCGGGACGAGCAGCTTGGTTTGGTTAGTCTGTTACGTTTCCGTACGATTTCGACCGTGGTTGTACTTCTGTCTAAAGAACAATAACTGTTGCCGCCTCTCAGCCGTTTGGCAGTTATGTGCCGAGCGTTGAGATGGAAGGGTTCTTGTTGACCTTGGGGGAAAATGTTGAATAAAGAGGATGAAAACAAAGCTGTCGACTCTGCATGTTGCTTTGTTAGGGCTGTGCTGAGCCAGCAAGGGCCACTTGTCTTGCTGCAAGCCATACCGTGGTAGATTGCTGGGGACAACACCTGGAGATTGAGGTAAGCTGTGACTAAGCCTGAATAAGAGGGCAGTGTTAAGGCTATAGTCTGTTACAGGTTGACAAAAGCTCTATGCTCATCATGATTAATACTTCCCACCTCTCCAGTGTTTGCTCTGCTAAAGTGAAAAGGGTAATGAGCTTTGTAGCTTTTCTTAACCTGCAATAGTTAACAAATAACGCTCAGGACAGTTGACACCAGTCTTGGGCTCCGTCAATGCGGCGAAGGAAATTGGCACATTCTGACAACATTCAGAAGCACGACACGCGCAAACACCACAAACCCAGTTTTGGGCATTTGCGGACCGTTCAAATGAACAACGGCCAAATATTTTGTGCAGAAATAAGCTTTGCGTTGCACGGAAATAAAATTGAGGTTTAGAACGCACTAGCCACTGTCAAGGGGCCTATTGAGGTATGTTTTGGAGAATTATGATCTTAATTAGATTTGCATAATTAACCTTTCAATAAAAATATGTAGTCTTATTCAGAAACTTTTGCTGGGCACCATTAAAAACCATCCTGAAGTGCATGCTTCGTTTTTCCTGTTTCGAAAATTCATCAAACCTCAACGTACCGAGGCAGTTTTTGCACCTCTGCATTCAAGCTGTTCCTCGTAACGCTTTTTCACTTCTGGTAAGTCGCGTTTCGCCTTGTTGACGAACAGCGTCTGCTACTTTCTCTGTTGGTATGCATTCAGACGAATAGTTAATTGGCGTCGTTTTTGGTGTTGGTGAAATTTAGAAGCATGGCGAGGCTGCGTCAACGACAGCACTCAATATTGCTGCGTGCGAGTTGGTGTCGTAAAAACAAAACTTGTAAACGCTACAAAAGCGGTTCCACACGCGGGAGTGTGTCTAACAGGAAAAAGAAATTGTCTGCGTTAGCGAAACTTACGTATACGGCAGGGGTGGCCAAGCTGCGGCTCCTGAGCTGCACCCTGCTCGCGGTTCCCTCCCCCTACTTCTCCCCCGCTCCCCCGCCTTCCTCCCGTCGCACGAGCACATCCCCCCCCCCCCCCCCCCCCCCAAAAAAAAAAAAAGAAAAAGGAATGGAATGTGTTTTAAATCGAAAGACTGGTTGCGGTTTTTTGGTAGTCTTGTGCTACTGCTACATTACGTACAGGTGGACTGCTTTTGACTCGGATAGATTAAAAGTAGCTCGAGTTTTGTTTATTGCTCTAAACAAAAGTTGGCCACCCCCCTGCGGCTCTTGGAAGTTTCGTGACTTTGTTTGCGGCTGTTAGACCGGGTCAGCCTGGCCACCCCTGGTATACGGTATATATGCATGCTTGTAGAGTAAACGCGTATCACGCGAAATAAATGTGGAACACAAGGATGTTGCATGAGCGTCCTGACCAATCAAAAATGGTACCACACGTCGGTACGCACACGCTAGTTTTTACACTCGTAGCGGTATTAGCAGACCCAGGGTGTTGCTACAACACCCTGAGGGTGTTACACCTTGTTATAACGCCTTATGGGCGTCGCCGCAACGCCTTTAAGTAGAGCGCTGGCGAGCCTGGCAGCATCCCAGAGATATCGTTTTGAGGAGCGAATCGTTGCAATCAAACACTACCACACGCAGTTGTCGCATGCACAAAAACAACAAATTCAGACGCATATAGCGCGCACGAGATCGGAATCGTGACCCCGTCGACTGCTGCACCGCCTTATATTCTCGACAATAAGTCGAGAATTAAGACACTTATCCATATGTGACGGCTTACGCAATAATGAAGGTTAAAGTATCTTGCTTTGTTCTCAACAATATTTCACAAAAAAAAAAAAAAAATGCTTTCGAGGTTTAATGAAGTTATTTTCAAGTAAAGCATTGGCAGAGACAATGATCATTCCACAGCTGCAACAAAAAAAAAAAAAATAGTTAAAGCTGCGTAAAGCGGGTTTATTGTCGCTTGGACGGAATGTGCCGCAACACTCTTCCCCCCGGAACAGCCTAGTCGCTGTCCTCTGTGGCTCTCAGATTTTCTCGCTAACGAATTGATTCCGAAGTATTTGCGACTCTGCAAAGAGGTGTAGGGGATGCTCGAGCCCCGAAAACACCCAGAAGTTCAACAACATGGAATGTGAAGCCACCCTACATCTCGACAAAGTAGACCTCACCCTGGCAGAGCCAGCGAAGCAATACTCGAATGACGACGACGGCAATCCAAACCCCTGGATCACCGTGCTACCGCGCCACTTCAAGAACCGAAGCTACGACACCGTAATCATCAAAATCACGGACGGCCTCAACCTCAAGGAAACATCACATCAGAAGATCGGACAAGCGATCACGCTTGCCGCCCAATTCACACCGGGTGAAAGGCTCGAGACCTTTTTTAAAGTATACGAGAAGGCCCTAACCTGATAGCAGCCGACACCTACCGCCCCTCGGCGAAAAGTAAACTGCTACGACTAACCTCGATTAACATCGACGGCGTCAGCAGACCCACATCGACCTACCTCGCCATGGGCAGAGACCAGGTCAGAGGGGTTGTTCACGGTCTGGACAATCTAGACGATGGCAGCCTACAAAACAGTATCCAAAGTCATGATCGCACCATACTATCAGCACACAGGATGGGAAGGAGCAACACCGTGCTCATCACCTTCGCAGGTCTTCACCTTCCAAGGTATATAACGGTAGATAGAGTGGTCACCAAAATCTACCCCTACCGACCAAGAAGCATTCTTTGCCTATGCTGCCAGAAAATCGGGCACAAAGCAGAAGTTTGCCCTAAGAAAAAAACCAGCATCACTTGCCAACAATGCAGCCAGGAATTTCCCCTGGGCTCTGAGCTCGCAGAGGATCATCAATGCATCCCTTACTGCCACAACTGTGGAGACGAACATTCTCCTGCAGACCCTCAATGCCCGGCCAGGCTCAAGGCAGACATAGACCTGAATCACAGCATGGAGATGAGAAGACAGATGCAATTTACGCTAAGGAAGAACAACGGACCACCACAAAGAACCACGCCAAAAAGTACCCAATCCTGCGGCCCAAAAACCTCCAATCCGTACCAACTGCTTCAAGACAATGAGTTTCCACTCCTGCCTGACAAATCCAACCAAAGGAGAGACGCGGAAATGCATCTGACTTCACGTGCGCCACGAGAATCGAGGACATCCAGCAACACTAAAAAAAGCAAGATAGCTGCAGCCAAACCGAGGCCACGTGCTAGAAGTCTTAGCGTGGACCCAGCCAGAAGCGTGAGTAGGCCTTTACACTACCTCACAGCTCCAAATAACACACCATCACGCACAGCACGCATATCACAAACGTATAAAGAAGCGTTAACGCAAGCTAGACGCCGCCAATTGACAGAGAATTCAGACAAAGCAAGGGTTGACAACCTTCAAGCTAAAACTTTGCAGGCCACAGTTATGGACATGGAGGAGAACGAGAGTGTCGCGCCGTCAACGCCCTCTCTACCTCCCTCGAGTACAACAACCTGCTCGAGTAGAGAAATCATACCTGGCTTGAACCCCCAAGCCAGCGCAATCATAATGCAACTTGTTAGACAGACGGAAATCATGCAAAACCAGATGACTCTCCTAGAGGAACACATAAAAGGTTTAGACGCCAAGATCAACATGCTATTGAACAGAAAAAGAAGTATCCTTGCAGAACCAACCGGCACCACTAAAGTAACACGCTCAGAAACCCCTGAGCCCCAACATGAATAAAAAGAGCAAAGAAAAGCAAGCAGCAGACACAGTAATATGGCAATGGAATTGTAGAGGCTTTAGAAGAAAAAAGGCTCAACTTCTTTTCTACATCCAACACGCGGCACGTAAACCAGATATAATAATATTACAAGAAACAAATGGAGACTTCAGTCTCTCTGGATATCACAAATTCACAGAACCAAGTATTACACGCCTGCAAAAACGGTCGAGTAAGAACCAAAACTCAAATGGACTTCAAACACCAACCATGACTATAACATACGTGGCAAATAGTATCCCCACAATACAGCTAGAAACGGAACAGTACAACTCAGACAAACAAGAAATGGTAGCAATAGAATGCCAGCTCCAAGGCAGCGACACCAAACTGGTAGTGATCAACGCATACTGGATCCCGGGATACCATCATAGCAAAACTAACTGGATCAAAGACTTCAAAGACAAGCACAAGGGAAAGAACCTGATAATAGGGGGCGACTTCAACAGCCATCACACGGCATGGGGCTACTCTAACACCACTCCAAATGGCAGAAGGTTAGAAGCAGCCACGGGGAACAACAACCTGTCTCTACTAAACGACATCCATACCCCGACGCGGACTGGGAATAGCGTAGAGAAAGACACAAATCCAGATCTCACGTGGCACATCGGCCCCAACCTAACTCGGTGGGAAAACACATTAGAAAACCTGGGCAGCGATCACTACATTCTAATAACACAACTCACAAGCCAAAGCAAAAGAAAGAAAGTACGAGGATCAGGATTGCGAACAGGAATTACCAAATGGGAAAAACTTCGAGAAGACTTAGAAAGGAAAGACGCCTCGGAAGACCCCTCCACCTGGGCTGAAGAAATCAAAACGGCATACCAGAAGCACACAAAGCACATTACGAAAACCGAAGAAGCACCGCTTATCGACCGGCACCTCCTCGAGCTATGGGACAAAAGAAGGAAAGTGGGCAAAAGGTTAAAAAAGAACAAGATAAACAAGCACTTAAAGAAAATATTAAGAAGCATTACAGAAGAAGCAGAGGGCTACGCCAGCAAGCTAGCAAACGAAAACTGGCTACAACTGTGCGACGGTCTGAACGGACTCCTACATACACCTAGAGTATGGCAAATCCTCCGATCCCTGCTGGGAGAATCCAAACCCAAGCACAGCCTACAAAAGTTACAGCTCAAACTGGACAAAA